CATAAATTTTCTCCAAACATTTGCGCACAGACAAAAAAAACGCATAAATATACATTTAAAGTTTTGATGAGCTCAAGCACATGTTAATTTCGTGATAAAAAAAACCACGCCGAGTTTCAATTGGAAAGGATACGAGTTTTTCAAGAGGCAAACAGAATATATTTTAAATGAAATACCCATCACAGTCCTACGAATCGAATACAAGTGCTGATTGTATTAAACTCAAGCGACACTCCTGTTGTCATTTAATTAATTCGTAAGCATTGGTTTTTCTCAAATTTCGATATTCTTTCGGTTTTAAATCGTACAGCATCATCTTTATGTTGAACTAAATTATGCAAGGAAATACACCAACAGAAAATTTGTGTACCATATTTGTTGAAGTTGTCTTATTGGATCAGCTCGACTGGAGGAAAAGGATTCACAAAACGTTTGTTATTCTGCAAAAAATTTAGGTCGTATTATTGAAGCTTCCCTAGCGAAAAATGTGTGTATATGCATATTAGAAGCACTTGGCTATGATTTTTCCAACTCGGTTGAAAAATGTATGTTAAATGAAGGTACCTTTTTCAAATGAATTGAGCTTATTCATAATGCCAATACAAAGACGCACAGCAGTTCGCACATATCCGCTCCATTGGGGCGTCGAAGCATCTCAACATCTCTGCATATCAATACATGCATTGAGAATGTGTGCCGGGTTCGAGTGGGTAGGAATGGTAGAAAATTGTGCCCGTTAAAAATAACAAAGCGCCAACTTTGAAACCAATTCATTTATGATGAGACGAGGGAAATGAGAGTAAAAATCCGTTTGATTGTTCCGTAATTTGCATATGTGACACAGGATCCACGGCTGAGCGTTGGATTTAAATAATAATTCGTCATTCAGCTGAAATTTCGTGATGGTAGTTGAGTTTCGTATCTACACCATTCCGTTGATCCAGTCTCTCTAGCTCGTCTATCTCTTTTTCTCTATTTGTGTGTGTGTGTGTCTTTTCTATCAATTTATCGCCATATGCATCGGCAGGTGTGCAAATGTTTGGTGAAAACTCATTTTTCTTCCTTCAATTTTTGCCATAATATATTTTTTATTCTTCCTCTCTTAGCGCCAACCAACGAAATTGGAGTGACAATGCAAAAGATGATAAAATGATTGTAATAAAACGCACATGTGTCATACGGTGAATCCATTGTATTTTGAATATATACAAAAATTGCAAGAATCTATGGTCTATAGATAGATATAGAGCGGCATGAAGAAAGTGTAGTCTATTGTTCAAATCGATATCATAGCAACATAATGGCGCACCACGTACACAGTTTGACGGGTATTCCAATTTAGATTCCAATGCATGATACACAACTCTCGACTGCTGTTCCATCGATGGATGAGATAAATAGACATATATACCGAGAATTGGTTACGAAGCTGCCTCCAGGTCTCACAACATTATTATTTATTGTGTGTGTGGGTTCTACGGTTTTTTCTCTCTTTTTTTTTGCTTTTCCTTCTTTCGATTCGTTGCTGTGTGTCATGGCACATAGTTTCTTAGTCTTCGATAAGGTGAACTTTTGTCTTGCGCATTTATGTATTTCGCATTCGGTTCGCTTTATTAAAAATCGTCTCGATCCATGCATTTTCGCCACCATATTTTCATCAATCACTCGCTCGAAACGGCAGACGATGTGCAATCGAAATAAGAAATATCACACGGGCTGTGTTTGTATGAGCGTCAGCGTGTCTGGTTAGAGTCACATAAATTGAGTGCAAATGAAAGAAATGTATTCAAATGTTCAAGAATGTGACGGTTCGTGCATGTATATTGCGAGAGAGAGAGGGAGAGAGAGAGAAAATGTACTCCGATAATATATCAATCATCATCATTATCAGTATATTTTTCTTGGGCATTATTTTTGCAATCGTTTTCATTATTCACACGTGTGTACATGATGCGGCCCGTCGTCGGTTTGCCATATTCGTTTGAATTCTCGAATTATTGATTCGTGGATCACACTGTTCAATGAAAACTAAGCTTGTGTTCGTCGTTTTTCTTTCGTTCATATGATAAATCGTTGTTTTCCATCAAATTCAAGCCGTACAATTTGTTACATTCGATACGGGGTGGCGCAGACATATGGAAAATGATTTAAAGCATATTCAGTCGGCAAACGGATAACGGTCATTACGATGAACAACTGAAGATACACTTTGATGTACTTTGCATCTCGATCATTTCTCTTGTGCATCAAAAAAAAATTAAACAAATGGAAGTTAGATTGTGATTCGATTCATTCGTATGGTTTCTAGTATTTTGTCGTCACTTGTTGAATAGCAGCGTTCACTTGAAATCGAAACAACTCCAACAGTATTCAGTTATTTGTTTGAATGGCATGTGTGTGTGTGGGTGTGTTTATGTGTGCCATTGTTGCTAAGATTTGCTTATTTGTTTGTTTGAAAAAAGAGAATAGGGATTCATTTGATCGGCTTTTGCATTTTTCATTCGGCTGTAAGATATAAAATATGTATGGGAAATATCAAGCAGATTGCAGAAACTTCGAGACTGGAATTACAAAACGGCAATTTTCTTCAATACACCAGCTGTATTTTTTCTTCTTCTGTTCATTTTCGATACGCTGCTTGGAATGCCATTGGTTGACATGTCTTGTAAGAATGGATTGTGGTGAGTGTTCGTCATCACATTTGTCAGCTTCGATGTTATATTACAAATTGAGCGACAGAATCATTTATTTTCGCTTTTGTCATTGTTGAATAGAAATTGAAACACAATTCGAAATAATTGTAGTGATGCGTTGCGCTGCGCTGCGATGTGATGTGTTGCGGTTCGTTCGTTCGTTTCAATCGGCACAGAGAAAGTTGACTGGCATTTCCATGAATGTTTCAATGATATTTGAATATGAATGAGTAAATCAAGTATCACCATAAATGGCAAATGCGGAGTGATGCTCGGGCGATTCTCAATCGGTTGTACAGCGCGCGATGGCAAGATGTAAAATTTGATGGGATTCTTCTTATACGTGCAAGCAGCAGTTAGTTGGAAACAAAGTGAGCTGTAGAATGTATCATCAAATGAAGGGAACGAAGAAGAGAAAGAACAAAAAAAAAGTCAACAGATAAAATGTTCAAGTGGAAGACGGGACCGAAGAAATTGTGTGAAAAATAAATGAATATTGCGCGCGGTATGTGAATGGTATACGGTTGCCATTTTCTATGCACAGCATCTTTCGGTAGCACCGAAGCGCGAAGACAAACGACTAACTTTTGATGGTTTTCAACCCATACATAAGCACTTGCACTGCAACTATTTGCTCTGTTCAAGACGATTCGGTCTACCTTCAATGTAAGCGATTTGTAATAAGATTCTGCGTTTGTTTTCATCTCTTTTCCGTTCGCTCTCCATCTCCATCTTCCCAGTTTTTTTTCTTATCGTTTTATAGCTTTCTGTTGCATGATAAATGTTCAATTTTTCATGTGCATACCTAATTTGATGGCATCTTTTACCACATACACACACATACATGCCAAGCGAGAAAATATAATAACGGAGATGGATGAAGGGGGAGGGAAAGTATGGGCAGAAGTGAGTAAGAAGCTCCAATGCCATTCTGTTGAAAAGTTGAAAAGGTGCAAGTATTGAAGTTGACTTCTTTGTCGACGAGTTTTGTATTCTAGGTCTTTGCTATGGCACAATACAATTCGTCGAAGACAGAAGAAAATCAAATAGAACAACGAAGAAAAAGAGGACGCGTTGCCTCAAGCACAGCACAGCACAGCACACGAATGAAAACTTCTTCAGGTTAAAAGAATTCCGGCAAAAGAAAAGAGAATCGATCGTTGCAAGTGGAAGTTAGCAACTCGAGGGCATTGAGTTTACAGCACGAAAATAAATTGAACCGAAATAGTTTGAGATCGCATGTCAACGAATTTAGGTGCTTGCAATTTAAGCAAACACTTGTACAACAAATACTACATTCATGTACCCAGCAAAAAGAACTGTTCGCCAAAGAAAATGCGTTAATTTTATCACAACACAAATAAATTCGCATGGCATAGTTCTGCCCGTTGATACTAACTTCATGACACTCAAAAACCGTATACTTTTGGATACGACACCGTCACACTTTTCCATTGCCATTCATCGTACACCCGCCCAATTTCGGTGATGAATTCAGCCATTCACTCATCGTGCAGCCGTGGCAACGTTGTTGCTACTCCCCAAGACATATGAATATTGTTCTAACATCGCACGTTTAATTTTTCTCAATCCTTTGCAATTTTGCACTTTCGAAACTATGTGAGCACAAAGCACATGCACTTGCCATTTCACAGCCAGCCACATATTTTTTCGACATCGTTTAAATCCAGCAAATTCATCTTATTTGTATTCTTCGCGTTCAATAGCACCAGCAGAAGCATACACACACACACTCGAGAGAAAAGAATCACAACAAAAAGTTCCCACTTCCCGTTGTGAGAGAACTCACAAAATCGATTCAACGAGCTCACAAAACGACGATACGAACCAAGTGCTTAAAAGAAGTTTTAAGTAAATGGATACATATATCATTACGTAAATGCGCTCATATGTACTTTATTTCCGAATCCAACGGCATACCCATACCTTCGATGCAAAAGAGATCACTTACAAAGAAAAAGACGCTACATTAAAACTTTGTGAAATGACAATTTATCGCGGAACGGTAACGATCCGTGTTGCAAATTAGTCGTAATTCGCTAATGCATAATGATGTCAATTCATTGTCTTTTTGAGCTGATATCTGAAGAGAACACAGTTGATTCTTTTTGTGATATAAGGTTGTACCTACTCTTTGTAAGTAAAATTGAACATACAGAACATCTTCGTTTGTATTGATCAATTGTACAGTTCAAACCACGGTTTGTATCAATTTAAATTGAGTCATCTAAACAATTTCATATTATTGTTAAATTTGTTGTATTTGAGTCAATTTCCGTAACTTACCTTCGGGCACAGCATTTGAAGTGCTCAAATAATGGACCAATGAAGCACCCGTTCCGTGGCCGGCTAATGTTACACTTTGCGCATCGCCTCCAAAAGCTCCAATATTTTCTTGTAGCCAATGCAAAGCAGCTATGATATCCATCAAACCATAATTTGCTGGTGCTCTGGCATTGCGATCGGTATTCGCATTCAAGAAACCTGCAAAAAAAGAGGAGAAAAGAAATCAAAATGAGTGCCAAATTTTAATTAAGAATTTACAAGCACATGGAATTGTTATAACATTCACAATTGCTCTTCATTGTGTGTGTGCCTCTCTCCCTCTCTCTACATGACAGTGCATGAGTGTGTGTATATTTCGGGGTTAATATTTTTTCGGTTTTTAATTTGGCATTAATGATTATGGCCGAGAGCTAAAATAGCGACGCACACTCTGGTTATGCTGTTGAATTTTCACATTTTAAATGTCATCGACATATTTCGAGCGGTTTTTTTTCCTCTCCGTCGTCCTCGCCGTCGTCAGCTCTCAATACAATTACAATTGTGAACCTCTATTACCCTTGGCATAGTGATGCACAAGCGTGGCAAAGTATCAAACATAAATCACATTCAAAACACCACATTGTCGTTATTATTATTGCCTTCAGCATCATAAAATACCCAATTTTAAAGTAATAAAGAAGAAAATTATTCGCATTACACGTATCCTGAATATGTTGAGCTACTCTTTTTTCGGCTCACAGACCATCGTTGACAGTATTTTTTATTGACGCGCATTTTCTTAGCCAATTTCAGGAGAAAAAAAATGCTGGGCTTTCCACGCATTTTGCTTGTGTTTTTTTTCACTCTGTTCACTCGACTTTCGTCGACGACCAAATTTTATTGCTTTTTCCTGCTTTGCACTCGAGAGTGTCGCCATTAACGCTGCTCGGATACACGAGGCACATTCACATTTTTAATTATAAGCCATATTTTAAAATGCGTGTTATTATTAAACAATCGTTAAAAATTACGGCGACACCATTGATTGCATCGAGGCGACAATTTAAAACTCTCCTTTACAACTGAATGAGATTTGCGTCATTGAATGTTGAGTGTAATTGTCAGTTATTTCTGCTTAATTTCCTTGACTGAAAGGTCATAGTAAGGGCATTCAAAATATATCAATTACAAAGTAATGACTCGCTGATTTGAAGAATATAATTAAATGATTTTAGAGATAGTTTTGAATCATTCTCTTTTGAACTTGAAACTTCCAAGTAAGAACGCGTGGAAAAAAATAATTTTTCGTTTTGGATATGCTTATGAAGCTGTTGTCAATTTTCAAAGCTTTTTTGTAAAATTCAGCCCAAAAATGAGTTTGGAGCAGACGTGTGCAAGGTCAAAAATTCTGGGGGTGGGGTAAAATGATTTTGCCAGGGGGGGGTCTGCAAATTTATAAATGGGTGTGAAAAAAAATGAAGACCTAAAAAAAGGTCCTCATTTTTGAAAATCGATTATATCTAGTGTAAAATTTTCCAAATCGCTTGGGGGGGTCCACATTTTGGATTCCTAGGGGAGGGGGTAAAACCGGATTCCCCCCCCCCTTGCACACGTGTGGTTTGGAGTGAAGAAACTAGTACACAATACATATGAACAAATTTTTTAATTTGATTTCAATCACTTGCACACAGCGCTGTAGAATGTTTGTATGGAGAACCGTTGGAAAGGAATTTTGAATTAAGAAATTCGGACCAATTTTCAACCTTTAACCCAAGGTGGGATGCTAATTAGAATATATTCATGGCATCAAAAGCTATATCTTTATTCATAACATCAATCCGAGATGGATGCTCCTGTACCTAAGATAAAAAAAAGTTCCGAAAAAATTATCATTTCTCTACGTTTTTAACAGTTGGCTCAATAAGACCATCCTTTGGATGGTAGTATTTCATTCAATTTTACGTCTTTATTGGATCTAGAGACATCCGTAGAAATATTGTGCGTTTGCGTTTTTAAAAGAAGAATTCATGCTCGTTTCGAAAGGGACGCTCATGATTTTAGTCCACCTAGTTTTGATCCCACTCGGAAGATGGGATGAATAACACGGATTATGGTGTATGCTTAAACATGTGGCCTGTACTGTAAATATTGTCTTCTTGTATTTTCTTTTAAATGAATATGAATTATTTGTCAAAGGCCGCAAATTCAATAAAGATACTATTTCACTTGAGCGTGCACGATAAGCAAAATTGCATGGAAGCTTTTATTTATGTCAAGTTTGCAACAAACAAATTAACTGCATATTTTCCATATGAATGGAAATGTTTACGAAAAACCAACTTCTTGTGGATTTATCAAAGAAAATAGAAAAGAATTTATGGAATTCATTTATGAGCGCTGAATAACGAAATCGTTTCCTTCTGTATACATCGTAATATTGAATCGAATATCCGACGTTGAGCTAAACTGCATATATATCCACTTTGCTTAAACTATAGAAAATTCTATTACATGTTATTCGTTTTTTTCTCTCTCTCTCGCTCTCTCTCTCTTCCGCTACTATTTATTATGAAAAGATCATTTCTTTTGAAATTGAAATAAAGCGAAACAGAAGACTAGAGATCTGACATAAAAGGAATAATAATCTTGTTAAATAATCGGAAGTGAAATAGGACAACCAGATCAAGGAGATTCGATACAAGTTCACGCTTGAGTTCATTACAAATTTATGTCGATGAATACAAATGAATGAATCAGCCTTTGATTATGTGGAAACCCGTTCCTGTTTCAATCTATCCGCAGAAAAAATGGAAATTTTTTAACTTTTGTATAAGATTTGAATTTATCTCAGAATTTTGGTCATTTCGGATTTTTTTCCTTGGTTTTTCTGTCCCACTGTGCTATTTCAAGTATATATGAGAAGAATTCAAATATACAATGACCTTATTTGAAATCACAATGCAAAAAGTAAGTATAAGGAAGAAACAAGAGATTGAAAATGAAGAAAAGAAAGTGAGTCGGTTGACAAGTTAATATTTGTGTGATTTCCCAAGTGCCATTCCATTTCTCCAAAAGCGAAGCCAATCAACTCTGACGCTTCAATCCACATTGTTGTATATTCAATTTCTGCAGCCCAAATAGACATCATTCCATTTGCTTCTTTGCCCATCCTCCCACTTCCCCCCCTTCTCTCTCATTTTGTTTGAGTTTATTAAATGGACACAGGTTTGTTTCCAAATATAAAGAACAAATATATTAAGAGACGTCTCAATGAATGGAAGAAGCCTATGCATAAATTAACAAAGCATTTCAATTTCTCTTAAATCCTTTTGTCCTTCTCTGCATTATTTATCCAAATGTTGAACTTTGCAATTTAGAAGCATTTATTTAACCGTCAAACGTCTGATGAATGCCAAAATAGCCGACGGCATTTGTAAACGTCAATTGTGTCGATGAACGCAACTGGGTATGGTGACAAAATAGCATTCAAATGGCATCTTGAATAACTGAATCGCATTTATTATAATCCTTCAATTTGAATGGCATCGACGATCTAAAATTTCACCGCGACCAACATTCTGAGTTGGCAAACAATTGAAACTGGATACATTGGGAGTGTCGTTGTCGCTGCCACCAGCGCAGATTAAAAATATCATCGGGGGTGTTTAATCGATTTTTAGAAAATCATAAATAAATAACGCGCCTTATCTCATCGCGGGATGTCGCGAAGTCGACAAATGGCAGAGGATTCATTGTGTTTATGTTTTTGGCGCTACGTTAATCGCAACTCAACTGCCAATCTAGTACAAATATTTGAATTTGCAATTTTATGACGTTGCAAATATACTTGAGAGATGCGTGTCTCTTGCTCTCTAGTATCGCTTGCTGTTTGTTCAGGTTAAACGATGCTTTTGGATTTTTCCCATTATTATTTTACTGTCAAAAATGAAAATTGTTCAGAAGACACAATCAACTGATGTATCAATACTCCCTCGATATATTTTCTGTTAAAATAAAAACGGTAGTTTTCGTGCACAGCTTTTCACGAGCGATACATAATCCATTTTGACATATCATAATTGGATGCAAAATTCGTTTAACGATAAATTGGCTTTCAATGTGATGAGAAACGTGACATTGCAAATTGATTTGGTTATGGTAACTGTCATTTCCATCTTTCGCCCCCCCCTCTCTCTCTATCTCTCTTTCTCTACCTTGTTTCAATATATTTTAATCTTTTCGTCGGATTTTGATGTTGCTCTTAAACGCATAACATTAAAATAAACAGGATTTATTCGGTTATCCTTCCAAGAAATGTAAATCGATCCGTGGACCATTCATCAAACGTACACTGTCTGAGCTTAAGAATTTCGGTGAAAAAGGGGCATAGTGTGAAAATTGATTTAATTAATTATTAAGGAGGCATAACACATTCATTGTTCGTGTCATTGTTCTGTGGTTTTCATGTTATTTATTGAACAGTCGCGAACACTTCACGGTTTCACGTACCTAGATGTATGGCTAAGTATCTAAGGCACTGAACCATTTTAGCAATGTGAAATGAAGCAAAAACTTCTTTCGAATAGAAAGTTTTAATCATCCACGCTGACTCTCTGCAGTACGTAATACTCTTCGTTATAAACATGTGAAATGCGAAGGTCCTGCATCTAAGCGTCTGACAGCTCACTTCTAGCGCTACGAGACAAGTGTCAAAAGTTGTGACACAGATCGTTCAATGTATTATTGAATCTTTTTTTAAATTTGTTAATAAAGTAGACAAAAAAATAAAAATGTCACGAATGTGCAAAATTGATTTTTGTGAGAGCGTAGCACGTGATAAACATCAATTTTATAAGTAAAAAATGTTTCTTTCATTACGGAACATTGTTGATGCGTTTAATTTGTCGCGTTCATGAGTGCGTCTAACGACGTAAAGAATTGAAATGAACTTCACTGAATGCGATCATCGCAAATTCGTGTTTTACTTTGTTTTGTTATTACATATTGCTTGTAAAATTCACAAAAGGGCAATATAATAATCGTAACATTCGATTCTAAAAAGTGGTCGTTTTTTTGCTATTCAAAACATGTTATTGATAGTCAAGGTCGGGAATTACACATTGATTTAAACAAAGTTTTCCCAGTATTCACATTCCAAGTAATTGTAGCCCAAGATTGTTGGAAGTAAAATCGACTTGTAGCTTCACAACTGACTCGCCACAAACTCTGTGCAAAGTCAATCAATGAATAAACTTTCGAATGATGTGGCGTGTTTCATGGGGCATGGCATGGCGTCAGCGATACGAGTGTAATACATGATGTTCGACTATAAGTGCTTTTTGCTATTGCTATGGTGCTCGGGAGCAGACGAAGTGTGCCGTATTAACACACGTTCGTTTTTGATACGGCTATAGTTCCAATCATCAATGCTCCTTTCAATCCCTCTGATTAGTTGCTAAGCCAATGCGTGATTAAAGGACAGAAATGATATGAAAGTAAATCGATTCCAATTAATATAAAATTGCCTAGTTACACAACTCTATTCGTTAGTTTGGAGACTGAAATGTTGCTCCAGCTCGTGCATAATTACGGAAAATATTTATTAATCTCACAAGACGGAAAATCGGATTGCTCGTTTTTCATCAGACTTTTGGATGTTGTAGTGTAGGAGGGAAATGAGCTGGCTATTCCTTTTATTTCTACTCTCACAAGAGTTTTAAGCGCAAAATATGCAAAATGTATCAACAACATTGTTTATTTTAATTTTCTACTCAATCCGTTCCAACGGCACCAAGAAGCGAAAGGATCCTTAGGAAAAGCCATTGCCATGGAATGTAAACATCTATAAAAAAGAAAACTTAAAAAAAATGTTAGCACAAGTTATAGCACGACAAGTACTATTAAGCTGTTGTTGCCGCGTGCGCGCGTGTTGAAATGAGCTTCCGAAATGTTGGCTTGAAAATTTGTTGCCGAATTAAAGTTGTACAGAAATACGAAGCTCATGTTGTTCTGACAAGCGCATGAAATATTTTTACATAATTCTCCTCTCGTACAAATTGTCTATTTCGATCGTGTTGGCAGAGCGCATAGTGTGAATGTTTGTATGTATGTGTGCATGTGTGTGTGTGTGTGTGATAAAATGTGATGACGCCATGCATAATTATTATTATTTGTGTTGAAAATGTAATTAAATTTAGACATTTTGCTTACATTCGGGATCTGCATTGCGAAATACACGCGTGTTGGCTCATGTTGTGAACGTTGAAACTTGCTTAATCCAAGCCATTTCACGCATTTCACGAAACAATACTTGGCGCTGAAAACGGTGCTGAAGCATTCGATGGGGAAAATTCATTTCATCGCATTACGTATGAAATACGTTAAAATGTGAGTGTGAATGCGAATTTGACTGAAATCAAAGTTTGCTACAATCTCCAACTAAAACACGTACAGCAAAATTTCAAGTTTTGCTTATATATTCGTCGAAGCTCCTTAATTTGCCTGTCAGAAAACAAGTATTTGAATTTCCCATGTGAATTATGAGTCTAGCAAAAACCGTTCAATCTCAATCTTGATGTGTTCGCGCTCATGCCAAGTCTAACAAGTTTATGAGAATTCATCAAAGTTCGGCATGTGTTTTAATTGAGTGATTCAATCGTAGTCTGGCATCCTGGTGTTTTTTTCTCTGCTTACATATAGTCGTTCAGTTTTTGGTTTCGATGTTCAGTTGCCAACACTTCGAACATTTGAACAATAATGCGATAAGTATCTCATTACTTGCACCCTCAGTATCCGCAACGGAAACAATTAATCAATGTTTCGAGGCGTTTAAGGTTGGCCATCGCATGCAAATCACCCAAGAGAAAGTGCACTATTGAAAAACTACAGCCAAACTGTTGCACACATCCGATTGTGTTGCTCACACATACTCACACCGCACACACACACACACCAACTGAGCACGGTGGTGCAAATTGTCTATTTGAGTGAAGTGTTTGTTTGTCTCTCAGCCAGAACGTAATTTCGTATACATCGTTCTCATCAAGACATATCATGAAAATTTGCATATAAATTATTCACCATTCACATACGACAGCCATAAAATATGCTTTCTCTCTCGCTCTCTCGCTCTCCCACTCGTGCCAGTGCAACCCATCAACAAATTTAACTAAAGCAATACAAACAAGACAAGAAGATGATGAAGAAGAGGAAGAAGAAAAAAATGAATGCCTTTTCATACGATTGATAAGAAATTGAACTCATGCACGCGCGCATACGCTCAATTTTCTTCGTTCACATGCAAATCACCCAATAAACACTCTCATTCAAACTAGATAAAATGAAAGCGGAACTATTTTGAATTTTGCTGGCATTTATAGTGTGTGTGTTTGTGCACTGTGCAGCTTCCCGGCATTTACATGCAAGCTCATAAACCGTCGTCAATCAGCACGCCGCATTCCACACATTAAAATGAGAGAATATTTCTTTATAATTACTTTAAAAACCACAAGGGAGCCCGTCGGTAACATTTCAGCCACTTGACGGAAAATGAAGTTTTGAATCGAAAATAAGATTTTTATTCCTCTAGCGAATACGCGCAAACTTTTATGAGCGCCAAACAAAAAGACCGTTTCCAATTTAATGAGCAAAGCATATGGATTGGCGCGCTTTTAATAATCATCCATATTTTAGATGATGGATTAGATCGCACAGTCACTTTGGAACAACCATTTTGTTCCTTTTATTTAAACGGGTTTTTATTCTCAAATAAGTGAAATCACAGTGGAAGCATCCATTTGCCAACCCAATGCAAATTAACAGGTAATTTAAAACAAAAATCTATAGTGAGTATAGAATCTTGTGGTGCTGTTATCTTTGGCATCGCCAATGCCATTAAATTCTTAAAGTTTAATCGTTAGATCCATTAAGTAATTTATTCGCTTGGCATCGTCTTCAGTGCCAATGTTAACAAAAACCATTTAAAAATGTTGCCTGAAATAATAATGAAAATCTCGAGTTTGAGCGTGTGCTGCGAGCGCTTGTTTTTCTTTTCCTCATAAGAACTAAATCTCTGTTGGACAAAAAAGCGTATATTCCCAAGATGGACACAAGATCACCGCATTAGTATTGGTGTACATAATGCAAGTCGAAAGAAAAAGCCAATAGTGTTGAAGCACATTCACAGATTGTTGTTGGACCAAGGAAAAAAAAATGATAACGATAAATAAGGTGTAAGCAATTAAGCCGATTATTCGGGATTCGTGTAAATTAAATAATAGTAAAATGAGCGTTAATTAATTGGAAAATCTGTTTGAACATTTACGTGAACATCGTTTTCTGTCAGTAATTAATTAAGTTTGGGATGAGATGGAGTTAATTATAAATTCAGTTGATTCGTGTTCATTGGGCGAGGTATTAATGCATAAATCAAAATGTCAAAATGTGATTCGTTTTAAATGTTTCCAATTGATTTGTTCCCCCCCCCCCAAAATTTAATTGGAACGCGTGCATAGTGCACACCAATTCATTTCGCCATCGGTTTGAGTAAGTTTGTCATTGACCGCAGAGTATTGCTGGTTAATGTGGGAATGAGCATCGTATTTGTTACCTGATGCAAAACGGGGCGAGGAATATAAGATAATTGTGTACGTTTCAATTTTCCACAAGAATGCAATCAATGCGATGCAACCGCAATTACAGTGCAAAGTAATTACAAACAAACACACTCATTCATTCATTCACTCACGAGCGCCAACTTTAAAATCCATTTACCTGCACGATTAATGGCGTCCAACAATTTAAGATTGAAATCACATCGAAGATTAATCGATCTCTGTCGCAAAATCTCTGATCGAACGTAATTTATGTTTCACCGCGTTAAACCTTATTGTTCGCTATTTGTTGTGTGCTAATAAGAACCAACAATGTAAAAGCGTCAATTTGTAAGTGAGGACTCAATAAATTTTCGGCTGATGGAAATGGTAAATACTACATTGGTGTAGTTTCTTTTGTACGTCAATAAAGATCTTATATGAGACATACACACAGGCACATTTACCATGTACACATACATTCATTCACCAAGCACTTGAACATTTACGCGGTTCACGACTAATTGAACGGTGATTATCTAAAGCATTTGTTTTGCCTCAAATGAGCCAGGGTGCTCAATTATGTGAACGAAAACCGAGAGAATGAGCGAATGAACGAACGATGCAACAATAACAAATGAAAATTAAATAAACGATTTCGAAACCTGCATTCGAAGCAGTTTCGAGAGAGTACACCGTAAAACAACTGGAATATGTTGCTGCAAAGCATTTATATCGACACCTCAACCATTGAAATTTATTTACGTGTAACTGTAACCGCAGGCGGTTGCTGGGTGTGCTGAAAACTTATACACGCCTGAACACAATGGTTCATAATTACGGTTAATTTTATGTGTATTTTAGGTGTTAATTTATGATGCAAAAAGTGTACCGGAAAATTGGGAGCAAAATCCCGATGCGAGATGTTCATACATAATAAATTTGGGCAAGTTTGGTTAAGTGTTTTTACCTCAAATCCACAAACAATAACAACGAAAAAAAAAAACGAAACGGTGAATGAACAAGGCGACGATGACGGTGAGACACAATGACTATATATAGAGCAACAGCCGACTGTGAGATACGAGAAAAAAAAGTGATCAATTCATCTTACCTAATATTCCTAAGCGATAATTAATTGTAACAACTAATATTTGTCCGTAGCTAGCTAGAACCGAACCGTCATATGGATTGCCGCTATTCCATTCGTATGATTCGCCATGCACAAAAACCATCACTGGATATTTGGTTGGATTTGTGCTACCTCCACTGTTTCCGCTACCCGTGCTGCTATCCCTCGAACCAACTGCAACAAAAACCGAAGAGAATGAAGAAAAAGCAGAGAGAAAAAAGAAGAATATATATAAACATTAGCCAAAATGAAGGAACATCGTAATAAGGTTTTGTTGAAAGAGATTTATATTAAGTTACTGAATCGCTCATTTAACGTCTCAAAATCACTCTCGCTCTCTTTTTCTGTGTATGTGTGTCGGTTTCTGTCTCTCTGTGTGTCTCAGTCACAGTCTCTTTCTCTCTATTTTGTCTACACTTTATTGGGTGGCGTCCGGTATTGGTTTTGCTAAAGCTGCTCTCCGTAAATCTGTCTGCGTGCTTGCTTTGTCATTCACTTAAAGAATGTTTAGTTTGCGTCTATTTGTCAATCGATGAATGAGTTTGTCATTGAGTGATGGAATAAACAAAAATGTTCGTATAAACAACGAAACAACGACCGATTGCCGAGATTGTGGACGATTTAATTTTGAATGCAGAATTCGTTTATGGTATTAGCAAAATGGAATGACAGTCCAAATTGTATTGGACAGTAATACCAATCGCATGAAGTAGAAAAGTAATTTTCTATGATGGCTCTCCTTTTTTTCGCCCTAGCAACGCGACATCGTGATGACGACGATGTCGATGACCAACAACCATTCGCTGGTGACTCTGCTTCGATCGAATGTTATTTCTCTTCGCACAAAGGATTTATCGGTTTTAATTTGTAAAAAGGGGACACAAGAGAGGGGCGCCGAGTGGGGCCAACAAATGACGATGTAATAAAGGATTAGGTTTTTCGTTATAAATGGCGAGCTTGTTTGATGCAGCAACTACACTGCAGGCACACACTCACACACAAAAAAAGGTACGAAGTGAATACAAATGACTGATGCTGATAAAAGCGGTAAATTAATCCTAATTTGACGATTGGTCAACACATGACTTTTTTCTGGTGAATGGGAGAAAAATTACGCTTAAACCTCCGGCTCATCGAGACAGAGCGAAGAGCACTCAAATACTTTGGACTGCATTAAGTATAGGCGTGAAACATGAGCATCGATTTTATTTGTGAAATGAGTAAATAAATGCTTGTTTTTCCTCTCTCGTTGGCTTCATTCGATCTTTTTTTTGCAGGCAAACGAAATTGAAGACAACAAACGAATGAGGAAAAAAAATACAGGGCGGCCATTTGAAGCGGAAGAGTAATGGCGTCGGCCATAATGTTAGTTTTGTGTCGAATAACGACGTGTTTTAGTATCAAGTTACAATGTGAAAATAGTCAAACGTTGTGTCTCCGATGTGAAAGCACACAGCTCGAATACCAAACAAGGCTTCGGGCTGAGCTTTGGCCACGGGTTAGTTTGATTACGATGTGCTTATTTATCAGATTCAGCATGCAGTGCCCAGCAAGCAGAATCAAACTACGCAGTTGGTGTTTTTTTTAAATGGCCATTGCAATTCTAATTAACATTGCGCGAGCAAGCGAACGAGCGCCTTTGGGCGTCATGGACCATTCCAAATCAACTGCTGTTAACCGAAATGTGTATGTGTCTGTGTAAAATTCATTTTTATTGTTCCATCAAGTGCTTAATAATTTTGTGTTGTGAATAGAAATGTCGCCTCTTAGATGTTCGATAGTTGCGAGCGCAAAAATGGGAAAAACGTCAACGCGGCAATATCGTCGTTTGCTTTGGTTTTCGGCGCATTTGCGTACATAGTTTGAGCGGTTTTCGAAATCGTCGTTTGTGTTTTGAACGCACGACCGATTTCGAAATGAATTTGTTGAATGTTTTAGGATTTTTATGACACAAAGTTGTCGTATCATGTGTTAGTATGCCATGAAGGTTTTGATTCGTAATGGCAGAAATTTGCAATAAAAAACAAAAGTTTTGATTCACTCGGTCTTGAAGTGAAAATTTGCCTCGATCGTCGCATCGTTTTTGCATAATTCAAATGGATGAAATATGAATGTGAACGATGTGCTTTGCATCAAGTGAATTGAGTGTTTTTTCCCCGGTTTTAATATGTCAAACATCAAACTCTCTCAATATTTCTGCCACGTAAATTACGATTATAAAAAGTTTTTCTCGCTCACTCACTCTTTCCATCTCTCTCTTTTTTCATGCACGGTTCGGAAATGTCTATGTAATGATTTCTCATTTAGAAAATGTGATGAGAAAAAATAACATGAAACTAGTAAACTGATTTCATTTCAAGTTTGAAAATTCTCAACTACTCTAGCGATTTCAAGCGCGAATTTCTCTTTTATCTCAGTGAAGCGAACGAAGTGTTAAAAAGAAAGTCACCAAGTATGCATAAAAACGGGTTAATTACGAAATATTTTCAGTTTGATAGAGCAAAGTATCAGCGTAACATTTGTGTGCAAAAGCATTTGGTGCATTTAAAAAGTTTCTCTCTCTCTCTCTCTCTCTCTCTCTTCGGTCGCAATGCACAGACACACTCTGATTCGCAATTGCGAAGTTTTTCCTCATTTTCAAGTTATAATAGTCTTTGAGCTTGTGACTTAATTTATTTTAACTGTTGCAAACATACGACCCACGCGATTTTTCGCCTCGTAAATACATGAAGCAGCAAACTGGGCAAAAAGTCACCACCATTTCATATTCACGAAAATTATTCCTTCTTATGAATGTGACACCATTTTATTTTCGCAATTTTTCGAATTTTTTCCACAATTTTCCGATTTTTTTTTCGAAAAGTTGTTCGGAGTACTTCGTCACTTAGATATTTTTTTCTTCTCTTTTTTTTCTCTTCATTCAAGGAATGCCACCTTTCCCATGGACATGCTGTGAGTATCTACGAAAAAAATTCAATTATTTTTGTATATTTATAAAGTTAGACTCTCTCTCTCTCTCTTTTATTTTAATGCGTTGAAGCGAGTTGAATGTAAAGCATGAATTGGCTCTGGTTTGTCGACACTGTGTGAACGCATGCAAAAGGGACTAATGGTTCTATTTCCATTAACATTGCGTTATGCCTTAAAAAGCCAGAATGAAAAAGAGAAAAACCCAAAACGTCAAATAAAGCAAAAAGAGAAGAAAAAAAATACAATGGAAATCGTTTCAATGGAGAAAAATAACGAATGCGCTGCGAAGGGGTTTTTAATAAGGAATCTTCGTGAATGGACATAATTAAAGTCGACAGAAAGAGAAAAAAGTTGTTTTCGCAGTGACTAGACCATTCGTTTTTAACACATTCCGTACAAGATTGTGTCTGCCTCAAGTGGAAAATGCAGTGTAAACCGTGTCACTCTCTCTCTCTCTCTCTCTCTCTCTCTCTCTCGCTGTTGTTGGCTCATTCGCTCGCTAACTCACTTTCGCAGGTCAAAGCAGCCGAACCAAGAAATTCCATCAACGCCACATTTTCAAGGGATATTCACATATTGAAACTTCGGCAATGAATGAAGCCTTTCAATAAGAAAACTTTGTTTCGATTCACACAAACCATTCTTTTTTCGTTCTCTCCCTCTCTCTGTGTGTCTATTTTTCTTTTCATTCGCTTTGTTTGAAACCACTCGAAACCCAAAAATGGTGCCCGGCAAAATGTACAAATATATACAATTTCGAAAGCAACGATACCCAAATAAAATATTTTTTACTCGTCGACAACAAAAGCCCACAAAATTTTTGGTCGGATCTGTTAATTTTGGGTTCGTTTTAAATTATTGGGTAGTGGTGGTGCCCAACTTACTTCAGAATAAATGAAATGGAACGAAACACAACGCAGGTAGAACTTTTACCAGAGGAGAAAAAAAATGTAACGAAGAGAAATACAAAACGCGCTGAGCAGACGAAAAATAGATTGCAACCATTTCCGAAGCATTTTTTTTGAATTTGACGTAGATGAATCAAGTTAATTTAGTAGAAGATGCCAATCAGTTGAGTTGAAATTGTGTGCTCATGAGAAAGTGGCGTTTAAATTTCCACTGTCGGATGTCGCCGGCTTAATTTTATGAACTGGTGTGTCAATTTATGTGATTTGATAGAAGAGTTTTTTCAAAATCTGTCCAAATTTTCACATTATTATATTTTGCATTTTATTTAAACATAGAACAATGCGCGTAATCGGTTTATTTAAACCCAATATCATTTACAGACTATATTTACATCCAAAATAAACAGTCTCACTTCATTCACTCGAGACAGAATGATTCTTCATCAAAATAAAATCCTCCATTATGCACTTTATTTATTCAAGAGGAATGAAAAGTTGTAAATGGGTGCGTTGCCTGATGATAAATTTAAACGAGAACTTCTCTCTTTAGTCAAGAAGAAACGATTTACATTCTCTCTTTGTCAAATCCTTCAAGCTGAAATTTCAGAAAAACCTCGTTCATTTCAGCCATAAGTTTGATTGAGTCGGATGTCTGTCTATGGGAATATGTAGTGAATATACATTTTTTTTTCTCCAAGCGATGAAAATGTCTATAAACAATGCTTGCTCGACGATAGCATAAAATGGATATTTCCTCATAATTTTCGGATCTCATCGAGTATGTTGATGAGAATAAGTAATTTTCAAGCCATGAAGAGAAAAATGCAATGAAAAATGTTGATTTCTCCCATGAAACTCATTTGACGTGAAAGTTTCCAATGAAATCGTCTCGAGTAAACGTTAGTGAGCGATGAAAGTGCTTTTCTCGCTCTCTTGTGCGTCAACTACTATGATGCATGAGTACTATGTATATGTGATCCATCATATTTACAATCTGTTTCATTTGCAGCATACAATTTGTGTGCACTGAAGCAGCGACTAGAAAATCAGACGGTATACCATTTGGATGAAGTCAAGTAAACCATGCTCTCTGAGTTTAGTTGCGTTGAGACATGTTTCATATGAAATTGAGGAGGATAGCCCATTTTGCCATCTCTAAAAAATCTGAAGCCACCAAAAAAAATGAACAGCTAAACTATTCAAAATATTTTCGAAGTCTTGAGACTTGAAAACTCCATGGAAACCACAATCTTGAGCGAAAAAAAAACAAAAACTCAGAATTTATTGAGTTGATAC